TTGCAACACAATACATTTGTAAGACATAATAATACTAAAATGACAATATTTCAAGGACTAATAAAAATTTATATCTATATACATTAATTATTCTTTATATTTTGTTATAATACTTTATTAACAACCACCCATCTAATTCTTACATCCTTCTGATATCCTTTAAATTTCCCGCAATTTGCCACACGGGGCGGGGCTAAAGCCAACTTCATAGTTGGATACATAACCTTATGGGTGAGAGGGGTGGTGAGACGGGGCAACTAGCGGTCCATGATTATATAGTCAAAGGGCAAAACTTAAGATTGAGTTGTGTTTTGCAGTGTCGATCGGTGTTTCTCTGTGTCATAGATGGAAAGCACCACACTAGACAGTAGACACTGTGTCACACAGTGCCGCCTGTGTCTCTTGTTGGAAAGCACACAAAGTTTGTTTACGTTGCTTGCACTTCTTGCACTCAGAATTTTTGTACAATACAACAATTTTTGAGAATTTCAAGTAGCATAGAACAAATCTACTGAGATTTCTTGTATCAGATTTGAAAAAAAGAGACAATAAAAATTCTAAATGATAAAAATAAAAAATGGAAGCACCAGCACGAACAGACCTTATGTTTCTATGTCCACGATGTAATGAACACATTTGCAATTCGCACGTATCCAATACAGTAAATCACGTGCAATCATTCGAATATTTTATTATTTAAAAATTATTTTTTCTTTATCTTAAATATAACTAATATTTTTTAGTAATAATTTAGTTAACTTTTTTTTGATAATCTTTTTTTTCTATATATTTGTTTCATTTGGAAATAACAGTTGTTTTGATTCACGAGTTTCACGACGCTTGTATGTATGCTTAACTTCCTTTTTTGTAGAAATCTCCTAGTGGCATCCCATAACGTGAGTCTCAGCGATTTTACTTGATATTTTTAACATATTCGAGCAATTAATTTTGAAACAACTAGACATGTTCAAAACACGAGAATTTCCAAGATACCTTGTGAAATAAAATATATTCTAACAATTTTTTTTATTATCTTTTAATTAGTTTGAAAACCTAATCACTAATGTATTTGGTGCACGTGGCATGCTTTATAATTTTCAATATGTTACGTATGGTTTCGGGGTTGATTTTTTTAATTTTGTAAGTTTAAATAATAGGAAGATTGAAATTTAAGCAAAATAAAAAAAAATGTTTGGTATAAATCGGTAGATTGATGTTACAATTTTGAGGTTATTTTTCTAATTTTACATTTTCTGCAGTTATATTTATTAATATGATAAGTAAGAGATATGTAATTATTAATTGTATTAATTTGCGAATTTGATGCTTGTAATATCAAATTGTTTATTTTTATAAATTGAATTGATCTTTCATAATATATATATAACTCTAAGTTATTTAAAAATTATTACATCTTTAAAAAAAAATTGCGTAGTTTAGAATTGAAATGTGAAGAAAAGTTTGTGTGTTAATAATTAATGATAAACTTGATCTTTTTATCAATTGCATGGGAAATTGTTGAAAAATAAATGGAAAAATGTGTCTTTATCTCTTTATGTAGCAATGCATACTCTTATCTCTTCTAGGATAATAAAAGAAAACTTTATTTTAGGTTGACTCTCGTAATTCAACCACAACGTTAAAATGTCAGGAGGTTTAGACGTATTAGCACTTAAAGAAGACGATGTTACTAAAATGTTGGCTGCCGGCACCCATCTGGGTGCCGAAAACGTCAACTTCCAAATGGAACAGTATGTCTACAAGAAAAGAGTTGATGGCAAGTAATATATATGTATGTATATGTATATATATATATATACATACACTTAACATATATATGCTAAACATAATTTAGATTTATCTTGGTATATGTCAATTTTCATGGTTTTCTTGTATAGGTGCAGGTGTAAATGTCATCAATCTTCGTCATACCTGGGAGAAGCTATTGCTCGCAGCTCGTGCCATCGTCGCTATTGAGCATCCTAGCGAAGTTTTTGTCATTAGTTGCCGTCACTCAGGTCAAAGGGCCGTTCTGAAATTTGCGGCTCACACTGGCGCCACTCCTATCGCTGGACGGTTCACTCCAGGTGCATTCACCAACCAAATCCAGGTAAAAAAAAGGATATAAACATCCATGTAATTCAATCGTGTAGTATACAAAATGATGAAACATTTTATTCCAGAATTGACACTTGTTGATTTTTATTTGGCTTAATCTTTTCTGATTTTATTTCTGTGTACTTGGATATTTCGACAAATTAAGCATAGCTTAACATCCGACATTTTTTTTGTTCTTAGGCCGCCTTCCGTGAACCGCGCTTACTGATCGTCACAGATCCATCTACTGACCATCAGCCTATTACTGAAGCGAGCTACGTGAATATTCCAGTCATCGCTTTCTGCAACACCGATTCGCCGCTGCGGTTCGTGGACATTGCAATTCCCTGCAACACTAAAAGCTTGCATACCGTTGGTTTAATGTGGTGGCTGCTTGCCAGAGAAGTACTGCGCCTGAGAGGATCCATCCCGCGCGAAACCAAATGGGATGTCGTGGTCGATCTCTTCTTCTACAGAGATCCCGAAGAGGTCTGTGCAATTTTCATGGATCATTTTCTCAAAATTTCCTTTTACTTTTCTCGCTATTTTAAAGTTCATTGCAGTGATGAGACAATAAGATCCAGAAACAAATCTGTTGGTTATTCTTGATGGCTTAATCTTTTCTGAGAAAGATGAAACGAGCGATTCGTCGATGCACTTCTCTGCACTATTGTTAACGGATTTACGAAATGTCTTTTCAGGCAGAGAAGGAGGAACAGGCCGCGAAGGAGATCGCGCCGGTGAAAGAATTCACGGGCCCGGTGGAGACAGCTCCCGCACCGGAACCTGGCTGGGTGAACGAGGTCGAGACCACCGTCGTAGCAACCGAGAACTGGGCCGATGACGTAGCACCGCCAGCAGCCACCGCCGCTGTTCCTGCACCAGGCGCCACGCAGTCATTTCCAGCCAGCGGTGATTGGGCTGCTCAGGTGAGATTATACACATTTGCATGAGATTTATTTTGAATTCTATTTTGAATTTTATTAAATTGATTCTATTTTTTTTCTTACTTGTAACTCTGATGTATTATTTTCTATACGTATTTATATAAAATATTTGTCAACACTTGTCCGTGTGTGTATACAGGATGTCGCGAAAAGATCGTAATAACGCTTGAGGATAATTTCCTGAATTATTTTTAAAAAATTCTAATATTAAAATGTCAAGTCTACAGTTTTCAAATTATAAGCATTTAAATTATAAGCAAACTATCTCAAGTTGGTGCGCACAGGTGTGGTGCAAAGCAAAAAGTACTATAGACAAAAGTTAACTGTTGCCTCATTTGTTAATATTGAAAGATTACGTATACAAAGATAAAATTGCTTTTAATAATATTTCTAATTCAACAACTATTGTAGTTTCGACATTTTAGTATTAGGATTTTCGTCTTAGAATATTTCTTAGGAATATACCTTTAAACGCTGTTAGTCGGGACACCACACACACACACACGCACACACACACACGCACACACACACACGCACACACACACACACACGCACACACACATTCTTATGTACGTTAAACAAGGTAACAATATCAATTACTTGTGATTACATTAATTGATATCAACAGTACACGATTATTAATCGATATATTCATAATAATCTGTTTAGCCTCCGGAAGAGTGGACAACACCAGTGGCAACTGCCGCTGCTCAAAGCTGGGGAGGTGCAACCAGCGAAAAGTGGTAATTTTGTGTTTAACATCCTGAAAACAATGCACTTTGTACGATGTGTGTAACAGATTTGAAATAAAAAACTGAAACAAAACTATGTCTTTTTTTCTTCTTATTTAATCTTGTACCAGCAATCCTGTATCCTCATTCAATTTTTATATTTGCGAATAACATTGAAGCGATGCTAGCCATATATTGTAATTGTATATGCATGGTGAGTTCTGGAATTCATATACACGGAATGCGCAATACAATTCTCTAGATCAGAAAAAATAATTGTTTACCTTTAAAACAAAATTTCTTTTAAACAAATTTTTAAATTGAAGTAAAGCCCGGTCTACAATTGCATAAACGTAGACGTAAATGGTTGTGAATTGTTGTAAATCGCAGTTGTAAGATGCTGCTACTAGTTGTAAATTGTGTTGTGAAAGATGGTTCAACTTTATCTTTCATGACTACGACTGCGTAAAACGTAAGCGTCAATCAATGAGAGGGCTGACACGTGTGTTGACACGTGATCGCGTCATCATAATGCTTGTCTCGATACCGGATGCATATGCATGGAAATAAACAATCTGATTGTTCTCAAGCCTTTTATTGTGTTTTATAGTAGGAATTAATATTATGGATAATATTAAGGAATATGAAGAGAGCAATGCTCAGTTTGAAGACGCAGGTTCGTTGAATTTGTCTAGAGAGTTGTATAATCAAGTTACGACATATCTTTACTCGATTGTAGATTAAATTATTGTACAACATTTACTGCTACTACTACTTCCACAACTCTACGCCTACGTTTACGCAATTGTAGACAGGGCTTAATTCGATGCTAAAGCCCGGTCTACAATTGCGTAAACGTAGGCGTAGAGTTGCGGAAGTTGTAGTAGCAGTAAATGTACAATAATTTAATCTACAATCGAGTAAAGATATGTCGTAACTTGATTACAACTCTCTAGACAAATTCAACGAACCTCTGTCTTCAAACTATATAAGCATTGCTCTCTTTATATTCCATAATATTATCCATAATATTAATTCGTACTATAAAACACAATAAAAGGCTTGAGAACAGATCGTTTATTTCCATGCATATGCATCCGATATCGAGACAACAAGAATTATGATGACGCGATCACGTGTCAACACATGTGTCAGCTCTCTCATTGGTTGCAGACGCTTAAGTTTTACGCAGTCGTAGTCGTGAAAGATAAAGTTGAACCATCTTTCACAACACAATTTACAACTAGTAGCAACAGCTTACAACTGCGATTTACAACAATTCACAATCACTTACGTCTACGTTTACGCAATTGTAGACCGGGTTTAAGGTTTACATATGAATTACGAGTGGCACTCACTGAACGTATTTTATAGTTTCTCTGAAGATTTCATAAACTAATTATATAAATTTAAATATCGCTATTTTAAATAACTTAACTCACGTAATTTTAACAAGAGAAACTTTTCCAATTGATATCATTGAAATATAATTAAATATAAAATAGATTGTAAACACATGAGTGATTTTTATCCAAGTGTTACCTGTATTTCAAGCATGATCATTATAGCATTTTTTTAAATCATAAACATCTTTAAAATGTTGAAATATTTTGGATCAAAATTGTTTACATTGTCTAAATTATTATGGAATAATTTAGACAATGTAAACAATTTTGATCCAAAATATTTCAACATTTTAAAGATGTTTATGATTTGGTCATGGTCATGGGGTCATCCGGAAAGTTCTGCGGTTTTTTCACATTTGTACTACATACGAATACCATTTTAAATTTGAATGACACTAAATGAGGAAGCCCAAACTTCAGGTTGATAAGAAAAAACAGTCTTTTGTTTAAACAATTAATGCGTCCATCCATAATAGCATATGTTATAAGTATATTCGATTTTATAGTGCCCTAAAGACAGCGAATCAGAAACAACGTTTTTGCAATATTATGCTTTTCTACTTTAGAAAGAGCAAGAGACAGCGTGTAAAATTTGTAAAGTTTACGGACAAAATACTGTTTCTGATGATATAGTTCGGAGGTGGTTTGTGGAATTTTATAATAAGGTGATTTTACTCTCAAAGACGAAGCGCAATCTAGGTGTCCTTGCACTGTGGATGATGATCTACTGATCAAGCAAGTATCACTGAAAATTCTTGTCGTACATACATTACAAAAACTGGCAGAAAAGTCATAAATTGCAAAAGCAAAAAGTACCGTACATGACCACTTGAACCTATCCCCGTGAATGTAAAACCGTAGAACTTTCCGGATGACCCAATATGCTTACCTTTAGCCGTTACTTCTATAATATCAGAAAATTTTCTCTTATAAAATATTACACACACACACACACACACAC